CATGTTCCAGTTATGAATGCTCCTTCTCGAATAGAAATTCCTGCGGAGATTAGCGAAAGAACAATTGCTAATGAATCTATGATACGTAAAAAACGTGGTAGACCACTTGGTTCAAGAGATTTGAAACCAAGAAAATTTAAACAGCAAGTTGTAGTTTGTGATGCCAAAGAAGTTCAACCTTCTCAAGAAGAAAATGAACATTTTGAAAATATCGGCCTTGAAGATAACATCAACAATAATGATACCTCAAAAGAGGATCCAATCACCTTCGAAGAGGTAAATATTCCAGATAAAGATAGAAACGTCGATAATTTTGAAATTTCAATTAATTACGTTTCTAATGGAATACAATGGAATAGAAATGATATTGATGTTAATGATATATTTTCATATGTCATCGCCACAGATATAATGAATGAACACGATGACAATGAGCCTAAATCTATTGACGAATGTCGTCGTACAAATGATTGGCCAAAATGGAATGAAGCAATTCAGGTAGAATTAAAATCGCTAGAAAAGCGTAACGTTTTTGGACCAATTGTCCATACACCAAAAGGCGTAAAACCTGTCGGTTTTAAATGGTTTTTTGTGCGTAAACGCAACGAGAAAAATGAAATCGTTAGATACAAAGCCCGACTTGTTGCCTAAGGTTTTTCTCAAATGTCAGGAATCGATTATGATGAGACGTATTCTCCAGTAGTTGATGCTACAACTTTAAGATTTTTAATTGGCATATCTGTTTTTAAAAGGCTGCAAATGCGCCTAATGGATGTGGTGACCGCATATTTATACGGTTCACTCGATACAGACATATATATGAGAATTCCTGGAGGCTTTAAAATACCTGATGCTTATAGCTCGAAATATCGAGATTTAGTTTCCATAAAATTGCAAAAGTCATTATATGGATTAAAACAATCTGGACGCATGTGCTATAACTGTCTCAGTGAATATTTGATTAAAGAAGGATATAAAAGTGATCCTATTAGTCCATGTGTTTTCATTCAGCGATCCAAATCAGGATTCGCCATGATTGCAGTATATGTTGATTATTTAATCACTATTGAAACTCTCATTGAAATTGAAAATACTGCAAAATATCTCATTTGAAATGAAAGGTATTGGGAGGACAAAATTTTGTCTCGTCATTCAAATTGGACATTTGAGAAATGGTATTTTTATTCATCAATCAAAATATACCAAGAAACTTTTGAAGCGGTTTTACATGAATAAACCACACCCGCTCAATTTTTCAATGATGTTTCGATCTCTCAATATGAATGATGATTTTTCCGACCTTGTGAACGTGATGAATAAAACCTTGGTCGTGAAATAATATATTTGAATGCCAGATATTTGAAGCATTAATGTATTTGGCTAATATAATACTTAACTAGATATTTCTAGCTTTTTCTATAAATTTGTTAGCCAGATATAGCGCAGGTCAAAGGACGTTACATCAAAGGGGAGAGAACAAAGCGTACAACAACAACACTTTTCTCCACACATGATTTTGAGAAACAAGGAACGGTTAATATCAAATAAATCAAGTCCTGTGACAATCCTGCTGATTTATTCACAGTCATTGGCACCGAAGAAATTCGAAGAACTTGTCCACAAAATTGGAATGTATCACTTCGAGATATATGTTGAACTGAGGGGGAGTAATATAATGCACTGCACTCTTTTTCCCTTCGTCAGGATTTTTTTTCCCACTGGGTTTTTCCTGACAAAGGTTTTTAACGAGACAGTACATTATAATACTATGAAACTAATACCCCAGAATAATTAGAAGATGATCATTCAAGGGGGAGTGTTGAAATATTATTGAATTAGTCATCTTCTAACTATTCCTGATTAGGAATTATTATCACCATTACATAAATAATTAGGAAATCATAATTATGATTTCAAGGTGATAAATGTGTGGCTCACAATGATCACCTAATCTCATTGAGCTCACACTTTCTCCTATAAATAGGAGTCATTCTCATTGTAATTAACATACTTCTAAAACACCATTATCACACTTGTAATAACATCTTTCTCACTAAGTATTCAGACTATACTTTCTCTCCCTGATCTTCTGCTTATTTCCTTCCATATTATAACACATGACTTTTTTCTTTGTTATCCAGTTTTTACAAAAAAAATATACCAAATTTTGTAATTTTTCATTATCTTTCAGACACCAATATTGCATACTAAAATAAATAAACATAATATGAACATACCAGGGGTGGAGATTTTTCAGGCTCAAATTTTTACTCTAACAAAGATACCTTTAACTCGACTCTTACCGACGCAAACGAACAAAGCTACGTAGTACATAGGGTTGATGGTACCATGGATCACAATCATGGCCCAAGACTGAATTAAAGTAAAGTCCATCGATGGGATCAACCCATTAATCGTGATTAATAATGAATAACAGCCGTTAGACCTAATTAGGAATCCAACCTGCAAAATGAACCCACAACAGGCCAGACTGGACATCAGACCTTGAGCCTGGACGGAGTTCTATCAATGTCGGACTCTTCTATAGAATCATTCGTGCATAGTTATCTGGCAGCAGCAAGAAATAACGTAAGGAACGTGGATCTTAAAGAAACAATGATTGCACAACGTTCAAGACGTTATACCTAAGGTCTATAAATACTTCTTGTACATACTCTAAAAGGAATCCACTCTCTGGAATAATAATACTGCCTTATGTTGTCTAAATTTCACTACTTTTCATACATTAGCTCTCGTAGTTGGAATTAAACTCCACCAGTCCCAAAAATTGTTTGACTTATAGACTTTTTTTGTACTCCAGGGGGCGTCTGGGGGAGGGGGGGGTTGGGGGAGCCTGGAGTAATATAGGTTGAAACTCACTCCATTGAGTTTCGAACTCGAGACCTCCCGTAAGGGAGAGTGGGTCGGCGACCAGCTGAGCTGGACCGCTTCCTCTTGACATATAGACTTTTCTTGATCAATAATAACAAAGTTTGGATAATGATTTAATTTTAACTATTATATGTATTTATCATTTATTAATCTTATACTTTCATGAAAATATTTTTAAAAAGACATATTTTAATATAATTTTCATTATTTAAAACAATTTCATGCAGAATATTAATAAATATCATTGGTCAAAGTTGATTACCATATCATTGATCAAAAAAGTCAATTGGACAAATCTTTTTTAGACGAAGAGAGTAAGTATAAATTTCAAACCTTATTTTATTTGGGCTAGATTAAACAATGATAACACAATTCTATAAGAGAAAATCACCGCCTCAGCTCCATCTCATCAAAGAGGGGATGTTAGGAAAATTTCATGTGTTAATGTATCAAATTAAAGTCTTTTAATGTCCACACAAATTCACTTCAATAACCTTTTGTGGAATCCTTCAGAAAGAATTTTTCACAATATTATCCTAATCAAAGAGATAAACAAGAAGGAAATACTCAGGGGTTCCTACCAATCTGGTGGTCTATTTGTGAAACAGAAATGACAATCATTTTTGAATGAGTAATGACGAGCACTTTGTCATAGTGTGCCTCAAATTAAATTCACTTCTAAGGGCTAGTACCGTAGTATAGCGCAATAGAGTTTGTATCCACAGGGAAATGAGCTTTTCGTGTATGTGTAAGCGTAATAAATAAAAGTAGACGGAAGGGGGGAATTGGATATTTTGATAATTGAGAAAGAAAATAAAATACTTAAATGAGTGAAATAAAATATCAAAGGTAATTAGTCCTGGTTTTGCTTTTATCCACTTAAAGAAATGTTCGTCGATCCCGGTTATATCTTTAACTATCTTCCTTCGAATACTCAACCGAGGAGTATATCCAATTCATCGAGGGTAGTTATTAATAACGAGACAAGTTCATTAATAAAACTTACTACCGAATTAATATAGAACACGCGCCGTATATTTACTCGATAGTAACAATAAATTCAAGATGAAAACGATTGAAATTGATAACTTCAACACAAGCGGTTTATTGATTTAATCAATATAATTAATTTCTCTTAGATTATTAACCATGAGACGCATGCATTAATAATCCAAGTTTACTACCGTGAAAAGATTGAACGATGAACAAGCGTATTCGTCGATCGATTCTAGTAATAATTAATATATGAGACAAAACTAGTTGATCCTTTAAGTAATGCTCAAAATATTAAAATGAAATATGAATAGGAATTAATTAATATTCAAGAAAGAATATTAAAGAAGATATAAATCCTACTATAACTAATGTCAAGATGTTAACTAATTGTCATTTTAGTAACACTCCCCAACATTAATATAGAGGAAGAAAATAAATACTACTCTAACTAATGTCGAGATGTTAACTAATTGTCATCTTAGTAACACTCCCCAACATTAACATAGAGATAGTATTAAGGGAAAAATTAATATTCAAGGAAGAAGATTAAAGAAAATAACTCACAACTTACAATTCATTAAGCTTCAAAGTTGCAAAATCAAGATGGAAAGTCTACCTAAATTACAAGAATAAAGTGTATATGAAAGAGGAGATTAAATTGGTGTCTAAAATAGGAAGGAAAGAGGTGTTTTTCATCGGAGAAGTGAGGTGGTTGGGTCTAAGACATAATCTGATTTTCCCATGTTCACTTGCTTTATTTGATCTCTTATGATCTCCGGCTCGAATCATATCCGATTTTCACACATCTTTGTCCTCTATGAAGCTTCCTCTTGTCTCCAATGGTCCTTCCTTATGCTCCCAAGCTCCTTCCTCTTCTTTTCATCATGTTTTTGCTTACATGTCAAAATATCTTAATATCTTCTAATTCTTGTTTAACTTTAGAAGATAAAGATTACACTGTAATTGTACAAAAGCTAAGTAAACATAATGTAAAACTATTCTAAAATGTGGTGTTTATGCGCGTTTTATACGGTACACCCGGGTGTACCTATACACCCGGTTATTTTGTAATTTTAATGAACTTTTAGGTTAGTTATTAATCTCTTCTATCATACTCAGCGTTCTTCTCCGCCTTTTACATCGATCATCCTCTTCTGCTCTGCCAATCAAGTTTATTTCGATCATCTTCTCCAACTCGTTGTGATCTTCTCTCGATTTTGGTTTACACTGATCATCTTCTCCAGCTCGTTTTGATCTTTTGTCGAATTTGGTTTACAGAGAAATCTTCTCCAGGTCGTTGTGATTTCCTTCGAATTTGTTTTACAACGATCATCATTCCAAATATTTCATCTGTACTCTTCGAATTTGGTAAGAATCTCATCCTTTTATTCTATTATTTTATTTTCCTGAAGTAATGTTCTTCATCTATTTGTCGTTAGATTTTTTATTTTTATTTTATTTTTCTTCAGTATTTTAATATGATCACTATATTATTAAATGTTTTTAAATTTATTGTAGGTTTACGTTGATCAGTTATGTCTAATTTTTCAGGTATTCATCTACTAAGCAGTTCACTGTATATAACAGATTTTGATGTTATAGCTTTATTTCAATGAGCAATATTGTCTATGTATTTATTTTATACTTTTGCAGATGAAATTGCTTGTACTGGACATTTAATTGAAGACATTGAATCTAGAGGCGACATATTTGTTGTTGATTCAAGTACCTTATTTGTTTTTTTATTCTCTTTTTCTTTGCTTTAAATTTATTTTCACTTTTTAGTTTTTCTCCCTTTTTCCTTGATCTAGATCATTTTATTTTAGCTTGTACTTTTCATTTTTGCAGCTAGCCATTCTTCTAGCAGTTTTGATGCTATACCCCAATCTGATTCTTCCCTTGTAGTTAAAGAAGCCGAAGTTTCAGAGCTTCTTGGAAAGATTGTTTTGTCAGAGAATGAAGCTTTTGATTTGTATAATGAGTATGCTTTTAGAATTGGCTTTGGTGTTCGTTATTCTACTCTACGGAAGAAAGAAGGTGGTTGTGATGTTAGAGGCAGAGAATTTTGTTGCACTAAACAAGGTCATAAGAAGAATAAAGGTGTACATGGTAAGGCATTCACCAAAGTTGATCGTCGTACAGGTTGCAAAGCAAAAATTTATTTTGAGTTTAGAAGTAACGGTCAATGGGTTGTTGTTAGACATCTTATGGATCACAATCACTATTTTTGTCCTGATTCTTTAGTTCATCACGTGAGATCTCATCGTGATGTTTCTTCTTCTGAGTTGATGTATTTGAATCATTTGAGAAATAGAGGAGTAAAAATAGCTGATGGTTTTCGCTGTTTACAAGCTGAAGCAGGTGGGTCTCCATCAGTTGGTTTTGTGTTGCGTGATGTCTACAATGAATTGGAAAAAAACAAAAAGAAAAGTTTTGATGGTTGTGATGCAAACACTTTGATTAATATCTTTAGGAACAGACAAACAAATGAAGAAGACTTTTTTTTCTCTTTTGAAGTTGATGTTGATGGTTCCTTAGTTAGCTTCTTTTGGAGAGACAAGCAAATGAAAGAGGACTATTTAGCTTTTGGAGAGTTGGTTGTTCATGACACTACATATCGTACAAATAAGTACAATATGATTTGTGGTCCATTTGTAGGTATTAACAATCATACGCATACCTGTATGTTCGGTTGTGGTTTTCTTTTGAATGAACGCATTGAATCCTTTGAATGGCTCTTTACCACATTTTTGACTTCAATGGATTCAGTTCATCCAAAAACCGTTATGACAGATCAGTCTACATCCATGGCTTCAGCTATATCTAAGATCTTTCCTAGTTCAAAACACCGTCTTTATATATGGCACATCATTGAAAACTCTAAAAAGCATATACAAGACTTGAGGAATGATGCAGGCTTTTTGGACTTATTTGATCGTGTTTTGAAACTTTGTCACACAGTTTCTGAGTTTGACTTTTATTGGAACAGGTATCATGTATTATTGCAATTGTTTTCTTTCTTTTTCATTATTTATTATTTACACTGTCAATTGTAAATAAATGAGTAATAGCTTCATTTTGATGAGTACACTGTTGTTCTTTTTGCTTTTTAATTTTGCAGAATGGTGACTACTTTCAATTGTTCTGAAAATCCATGGTTGAAGAAACTATATGGACTTAGGGAGAAGTGGTGTCCAGCATTTTCAAAAGAGTACTTTTCTGCTGGCATCTTATCCTCACAAAGAAGCGAGTCAACAAATCATTCTTTGTCTAGAAAGTTAACTGCAACGACTTCTCTTTATGATTTCTATCACTTTTTTTGTGAAGCTGTTAGTGAATGGCGGAGTCATGAGAGATCAGATCAACAGCGTTGTTGGGATGGCTTCCCCGAGATAGCAATCCCCCATCTTGGTATATTACATACAGCTTCTCGAATTTACACGATTGATGCTTACGCTCTTTTTGAGAAGGAGTTTCTTCGTGCTATGTCTTTGAAGCATGAGGTTAAACATTGTGTTGGTTCTGTTATTGGATATTTAGTTTGGATGCCTCATATTGATCAGTTTTCACAGTGGGTTTCATATGACACGACATCACATTTTGTTAATTGTTCATGTAAGAGGTTTCAAGAAGTTGGTTTTTTGTGCTGCCACAGTCTTCGTATATATCATATCCACGACGTTGAAGTTCTTCCTGATTGTTATGTTTTAAAACGTTGGACTCGAATAGCAAAGTCAGTTGAACAAAGTCAGTCATCTATGTTATCCAATACTTCTAGTGTTTTGCCTTCTGTTTGGAGAATGCAAATGCAAAGGAAACTCCACAAACTTTTGTGTTCTAGTGATTCTAATGCGTCTGCAAGGCTGCTTTGTGAAGAGTCTTTCAAAAAATTGAAACATGATGTTGAAGAACATGTTGGCAGTGTTTACTTCTCTGACAGTGATTCAGCTTCAATTGGGGTTGGTGCGATTTCTAATCCCAAAGGTTCAAGAAAAAAAGGTGAAAGAAATGTTCGGCGCAAGAGTATTGTCGAGATTAAATCAAATCAAGCCCGAGGAAGGAAAAAGTCAACTGCAGCTAGTACTTCACTTATTGAACCTTGAAATTTGTAAACACTCTTAAAAGCTTTGTTTTTTGTTTACATACTTATTATATTATTTAAAAAAGATAATCTTCTTTTATCTTTTATCATCATTTTAGTTTCAGTTATTTGCACTTTTAAACTTTACATGTTTTCTCTCTCTATGTTTTTGTTGTAGTTTTTACTTTTATTGAATCAAACATTCCTATGATATAATCTTCTTTTGAGTAATTCTTTGTCCTCTTATGAGTACCGAGTGTTACCAAAATGAGTATTGAAATTGATATAGTTGTGCCATTATAAATAACTTACTATTTCTTTGAAAAACACTTCCCCAATCTTTTTTTGATAAGAAAATTTGTATAACGTAATTTCATACTTAATGTTCTTAAATGCCATTGATAATTCTTCAAATTGTGCATACTAATTAACTAAATGAGCATTCAAGCTACTAATAATGAGTATTTGTATAAACTTCCTAAATGCAGATGTCAATCATCAATATTGCAATAATCATGAATGTGTAATTACTATTTCGCAATGAACACAAATATATACATATTTTCCCCCAAAAAAAATTAATTATCTATTTCATTTCATAGTGAAGACTCATATCATTACAACTAACTTACTAATAATTGGAAAAAACACCCCACCCCACCCCACCCCACCCCCACTGTATATTTAATGAATGATTACGTTGACTTACTTTCATACTCAAAGATTTTAACTAAGGGCTCACTCCTTAAATTTTTTGTATAAGTAAGAAATGAAATGAGAATAGTACTTAAAATGTGTATAAGTAAGAAAGAAAATGAGCATGCCATTTACTAATAATGATCACTAATATGAACTTCCCAGAAGCATATGTCTTCATTTAATAATACTAACATGATTACTGTCATCCAAGCTTAATAGTTATATGATATGTCCCAAATACTAATATTGTTTAACATGAATTAAAAAACAACATTATGTTCATCAACATCCAGAATCATCAATAGCATTACACATCTTCTAGATAGACACATTGTGTTTCTTCACTTGTTCCATGACCTCCTTCTTGATCACATTCTTATCAGATGTTACTATGGCATGCAAGTACTTAATCCTCAGCATCTCAATTGGTTTTTCCTGTACAAACATTATAATTTAGATATTCAAGTTTTCACATAATTATTATGTTTGAAAACTATATTAAACAACTTTGGACTTACACTTTCTTTATCTAGTCCACACTCCCATGCTATGTCACCATAAAATGTCTCCATATGCCTCATCAAATAAACTCCATCATTGGTTTTGTTTTTCTTATTTCTCCAATGCATTTTAACCACTTCTTCCTTCAGCTTCACAACCTTATCTGCCTTCGGGTGTTTGTGATCTCGAAGAAATTTCACAAATCCACTTCTCTGTAGTTAAAAAGTTCGAAAACAAACTTATACATATTTTTATTTGCATGCACATATTGTCTATGAGTTACTCAATTATCAAGTGCACATTGCTCATATTTTAACTCATCTCAGTATTTATCCATATATAATAAAATAAAAATAAATATATAAAACATTTACCAGGTATGACATTTGAAACAAGTACTTGAGTGCGGGAGCTATATCTCCGTTGCTACTATCAATGATGTAGAACTTCATGCTCTTCAAGTCAAAGAACATCATATAGTAGCACCCATTGTATTCATCTGGGAATATGAATAGGTCTGTTGACCTCAACTTATTTCCATCTGCACAGGGAAATTCCTTGCCAATTTCTGCCACAAACCTTTTGTTCCTTGTTTGTGGAGCGGTGAGATGGTTTTCATCTAGCACATGCTGTCATTAAATATTATGTATTAGTTTCATTTTTGTAATACTAATTAAATGAATATGTACTTCTTGGTTCTTACACATGGTCTTGTTGAGAAAATCATTCTGCTTTTAGCTTCAGGGCTTTTGAACTTTTCATTATGATTAAGCAACACTGCCCATATATCTATAATTCCAGCATCAACTTTTGTGTTGCTCCTCATTGTTTCCATCTGAGCTTTTGAAAGAGTGAAGTTGTAATGCTTGAACAGAACAACACTGTTTGAAAAGAATTATTAGATCAGAATGAGTAACATATAAGTACTAAATGTGCATTATATTAAACGAAATGATTAAGAAAAACTTGTGGACTTACTTCTTCTCAGTATGGTCATTGAACACAAAACCTGCAAGTAGTCTTTCCTCACTGCCAAGTGTTGTCCTTGCAAATATAAATCTGTTCACGTATGGGGACTTCAGAGCAGGTCCTGGAAATGTTTCTCTTTTTTCTCTTTCCAATTTGTTCGCTTTTGGGTCAATGTGATCTTGTTCAACTTGCTTACCCTTTCTAGACCTTCTCTCTCTTTCTTCTTCACATTCTTCCTTTTCAGATTCCTCTTCATCCTCATTAACATCCTCAGCATTGTCATTATCCTTATTCTGTTGCTCACTTGGACCATCCTCAGCATGCTCAATTCCATTGTCATGTTGCTCAAGTATGTGATTATAATGCTCATCACCATCCCCATAAGTATTCACCCCATCATTTGACTCCTGTGAAAGCAACTTGAAGCTTGGCTTTTCATACTGAGTAAAAGTTGGCCTCTCACCTCTTTTCTTCTGAGCCATTTCAATAGCTTCAACTGCTTTGAGCACTTCTTCAGTCCAGAATCCATCATCTGGAGTCAGTGACACTTCAGTTTCATTTTCTTTTTCTTTCTCCTTTTCTGATGAATATGTGTTGAAAAGCCCATGGACTTTTGCCATTAAAATCTTCATCGTCTCATCATCAGGTAAAACCTTTGCAGCCTGTTGAAATTTTTCATCAAAACTGGCCATGCTTTCTGCCAAATTCTTCGCAGCTGCAGCAAACTCCTTCATAATATCCTGCAGTTATTTAATGACTAGTTTTAGGACAGTAATTGAGCACTATTTATTTTACTATTGAATTTATATTAAAATAATTGTAAACTAATCATACACATTTATTAGATTAGTTTATTCAGTTTTTAAAATTTTTATTCATATTTTTATAAAATTTAATATCTATTTTTTTGAAGTTGCTGTATGTACTCATTAGTTTGTACGAAATGCTCATATCTAGATAGCATATTTATCATTTTTATATTTACCCAAATTTATCTTTTAAATTTTACATACTACTATCCTTACCTTCTTTGGCTCCTGATTGTTGTTTCCTTCAATCTGCTTTGCAACTTCTTTTTCAATTGTGATCATGTTTGGAACTATGAATTCCGCTTTATTAGGTTCATCTATATATCCGTATCCGAAACCTCCTGTATCAATCTCTTCCTTCTGTCTTTTGTTCAACTTTTGTGTTGTCCACCCAATTATAGGTGGAGATGCTCTTGGAACTTTTCTGCCTTTGAATACAACATTGTCCACGTAGAAAAACTACATGTGTTATAAGATGTTAGAATTATGTACTGAATATAATTATTTGATCAATAATATGAAGAAATTGAGCAATAACATTAAGAATTTGTAACTTACAATCAGAAATAATAAAGGCCCTGGGAACTGTCTTTCTCTATTTTTGCTCCAATAGTCCTTTGCTTCAATTAATGTTTCCAAAGTGTATCCACACCAATTCAGATCCTTGATTTTTGAATCATCCTGCAATGCCTTCAGAATGTTTTGATTGGCAAAGCAATTTTGCTTCCCTTCAATCAAACACGTTACCAGGAGAACCAAAAAATTCTTTTTAAACCATCCTCCGTCTGCTTTGTTTTCTTCTATAACCTTCTTCACTTGAGCAGTCTTCACAACTCCATTTTCAGTTTGAAATTGTGATCTCCAATTGGCCACCATGTGTGATGTATTCTCAGATTCAGTGTCAATCAAATTCTTCACATTAATCTTTCCTTTTGGAAACCCCAATGTCACATGCACTCCATCTTCATTAATCCTCAATCTCGCATTGTTCGGCAGAAGAAGAGACACACTTCTGCTGTCAAAATTGTCCAGCAACCAATATGCCAACTGCATTGGCAATTGCTTCACTTCAAGGTTCAGTAAGGGGCCAAATCCCATCTCAACCACCTCTTTCTTCTGTTCTGCACTTAGATTTTTCATTATTTCTGTTATACTACTCGGAGACATTCTTTTCCACAGCGGGTATTTTGCATTCTCTTCCTTCTCTATCTCCTCTTCGTCCTCCTCAAATTCTTCCTCTTCTTCTGCTTTCTTCTTCTTTATCTTCTGCTTCTTCTCTTTTATTGACTCTGCTTCCCTTGTTATTTTCTTCTTTGCATGAACTTCCTTCTTCTTTTTCTGAACTTCATCATTTTTCTTTTCAGTTGCTTCTGAAGTTGTTGATCTTGTAATTCTTCTTTTTGGACTTACTTCTTCACTCTCTTTCTCTTTGCTTGAATTTCCTTGTTCTGTACTTTTCTTAATTGAGCCTGCATTATTTCTCTTTCTTTTCTTCTCATTATTTCTCTGTGCAGCGCCTTGTTGTGCTTTTATCACAATCTGCTGTTGTTCAGTTTCCCTACATTGTTGCTCATTTTCCCTTCCCTGTTGCTCAGATTCTTCTCCAACCTCCTCAGTTGTCTTACTGCTAGTATTCCTTGTTTCTTCAACATTATCATGTTGCTCAGTTTCAATACCTTGTTGCTCAGTTTCACTCTCTTGGTGCTCAGATTCTTCTACAACATTCTCAGTCATCTTACTGCCACCTTTGCTTGTTTCTTCAACATTCTGATGCTCCTCATTTTCCCTCTCTTGGTGCTCAGTTTCTTTCCCTTGGTGCTCAGGTTCTTCTACAACATTCTCAGTCATCTTACCGCCACCTTTGCTTGTTTCTTCAACATTCTGATGCTCCTCAGTTTCCCTCTCTTGTTGCTCAGTTTCTTTCCCTTGGTGTTCAGTATCCCTCCCTTGTTTCTCAGAATGTTCTCCAACATGCTCAGTCTTCTTACTGCTATCCTTCCTTACTTCTGCAACCCTTGTTTCTTCATCACTCATCTTTATCTCAGCTTCAATTTGTTTTATTAAGTCCATATTAGCCTTTTCCTTTTTTGGAATTGCTTTTGGTTTCATCTTCTTCTGCTTCTGTGGAACCTTGGAAGTCTTTTTTACTCTCTTTTTTGGATTTGAGCGTAGCACTGGGATCTCACTTATAGGTCGTGGATCTAAAATCCTGTATTATTAATTAAAATGAGTAATATAT